GTAATTTATTAATTGCAGAAACTTTTATTAGCTATAGAATAAAATAATAATCTAAGTAATCAGAGATTGCGAAACATTCAGTTATTCGATTTATATTGATTATATCACACTCGCACTCTCCAAAATCTATATGACATAATTTTGTAGATTTCGTAATATTACTTGAATTCAGAATGCGTTTCTGTACGTGCTATGCGATGTGTTATGTGCGTACATCCACGTATAATTTAGAACACCGGTGTATCGAACTTATCCCACCCATTGAAACGTGCAAGAACTTATATGACTCAATATCTCGCGGTACGCTATCGTACACTTCGCATTGCTCATGGATGATCCGAGACAGGGCTGTGATTAGGAGTTTTTGCAGCTTAAAGAGAAATATAAAAATTATTTACCTTTTCTCAACACGTTGTTCAATCGAGTAAAATTTTGATTGATGTGTTATCGAAATCTAACAAATTATTCGCACAATTTACACATTTACTGATACCATTTTAAATTAATATTTTGAAATTGTTTCATTATTATTCAGGAAAATATTACAAAGTTATGAAATTTTCTTTATTAAAATGATTTTTTATAAAGTTTATCTTAGATAACTTACAAAATTCGAGATACAAATCTATCTTCTATTTTATGCTTGATATAATACAAGAAACATTCGAAAAAAATCAATATACAAATGCAAAATATATATAAACAATATTTCGTTCGAAATTTATCGAAATAATCACCTTGAAAGTATCAATTAACAAACTATCAGTGTCCCGACGTTTAAAGAAAGATTTAATTCTATAGTTATGAAAAATATCATCAAAATTAAGTTTCAGATTTCTCTCGACATATTAAAAATATATTTTTATTATATGTAACTGAAATTTGTGCAATTCTAAAGTTTTGGCCGCTTTCACACATGATCACGTCCCTGCTCCAAGGAAGTCGCGCGTTGTGTACACGCGGCGAATACACACCGCGCCGCAAGATACACACACGTGCAACGCCACGCGAGCATAAAACAGCTTCGCACCGATAGCGGTGCCTTTGATCTGATCTCACCTCTGACTACCTCCGCCGTAAAATTCCAAAGCGCGCTGACATGTACGTGCGTCATGTCGCGGAAAGAAATGATCTACCTTTGACGAGCGAATCCCTCGTTCTCGATGCTAATTTCCCCGATCGCTAATCAGAGCGCTATTTAAAAAAATACAGATTCATGTATATTTTACATTCTGATGGACTCTCGCAAGAGATGAGACTATTTTTTTTTTTTTACATGAAACGTGATCAAACGTACTAAGTTGAAAAAGCGCCGATAAGAACAATCAGATGCGTCAATTCTTTTTTCTTTTTTTTTTGTTGTATGTATTCAATCTTTCCTGCAATTTTATTCTATCGCATAGAGATTGCTTCTATGCGCGATAAAGATCCGTGTGTGCCTTCAATGGCATTAAAATAGAATTATTATCGACACGGTAGCACGAATCGGACGAACGCTGAATCAGCAAAGGCCAGATACTAGCCGATCCTGATAAAAAAAAGTGACACGATATCGTTGCTCGATTTAATGGGTGGGTGTGGCTGAACACAGGCTGCCGTTGACGAGACACTTTATCGCCTATCGAAAACAATATATGCATCTGTGCTGTCGGCGAAATTTCAAAAAGATAAGTTATTCTTGATTACTGCGCATATATCGGCCGTAAGCGTCACTTCACTACGTCGCATTGTTCATATTTGCGCATTACTGTGACGATTATGTAAGCTTTCTGTAGGAAAAGAATGTGCTGTATCGATTTCGTAGAAAATATTTTCTTGCACAGCTCTCTAAAATTAACAAAAATTTTATTGAACAAAGGAATACAGAAAATTCTTTATATTGTTGAGAGAAAGAAGGGCGATCTGGAAAAGTGTTTATAGAAAATTGTTCGTATTGAAAGGACTCTTCGGGGAAGAAATATTGAGCCTGCGTTGTAAAATGGGGGAGTTCTTTTAGACGATGCAAGAATTGCATGTGCGATTAAGAGGCAGCAGACTGCGCGTATCGAATGAAAGGGCAATGGAAATATTTAACGTAAACTGTCCGGTAGTTTAGAGGGAAGACTGAAGTTTCTGTTTAAGTTCTCATATACATCATCAACTTCGCATATCGTTCCACACGTGGAAGTTAAGTACGTGACATCTTACGACGACGTGGCCGCGTAGATATTATCTGGAACGAGGCATATGACACCCTGAGCTGAGAGACAGGCAGAAGCAATGTGCGTCTGTTCAGCCATTGAGACTAAGCAGATGATATCGCTTATAAACGATTTGAAACTCTAATAAAGGGAAAATATTGAGCGCCGTGTTCAAAGGAGGCGAGGCGAGGCTGCGAACGTTCCGTTGTTCTTTGCAAAATTTTTGTATTATTGACAACTAATTGCAAAATTTTAAATAAATGTTTGTTTCTTTTATACTCAAGATTGTTTAAACATTTGAAGTACTGCGCTACTCGATTATTAAATTTATAATCACGAATTAAATTGAAAGCTTGCTTATTTTGGCAATTATAAATCTATGCAACATTTCCAAACTGTGTTAAAAACGATTTTGTGCAATATCGGGCTGTAAAAATTGTTCCAGAAATTGATTTTTGTCAACTTGTCTGTTGTGTTAAAAAGCGCACCCATCAGATAAAACCAATTTTTACTCTGTAATTTGTAAACAATAGTTTATATATGTATACATATTTCTTTCTACAGTGTTTTTGGATTTTTATTTGCAGTACAGTAGCAATGACGAGCAGTTCTCGATATTCATCGAATCGATACAGTTTGATATCGAGCTTTTTTTCGAGTCAATTACTGTTGCTAGACAAATAAGATAAACGCAAATATTTAACTTTAAAATAAAGTTTCTCTCTTTTTTCTCTTTAACTTTTTTAATCTTTTTTTTAACTTTAAAACAATGAAACAGTTTCTCCTTGTTTCTACTCTAATTATGCAGTTTTGTTTCAATCTGCGTCAGAAGCATTTTTACATTTCAAGTTTATGTCTGTTTGCCTTTCTGCAATTTTGCCAATAATACAAAACTATAAAATTAAGCATGGACGCAATATTTCGATAATTGACAGCAGCTTGTTAAGCCTTTTTTTGATGGCCGTTCGAAAATCGAGAAAAATCCGGTATTGTGCAAAAGATAGTTCAGATAGATAAGGAATAAAAAAGAAACAAAAAGTAAGACTTTGCAAGACCGATTTTCCTTTAATAACAACTGTAACGTTAAAATAATGTTTTACTAATAAATGTATCCTTTTTACCTGCAATTCACATAATTAGTGATAAAAATTTGAAAAAAACTTAAGGAAACGTTACATTGATTCATCAGTTTTATTTTCAATTTTTGCTTGATTATGCGATGAAATAATGTAATGGAAATGTTTGGCAACTTAATATAAAAATTGGATAAATTGTGTTTCAAGTTTTTCACAGTTTGTGACAAAGACTATTAGGTTTGTAAATTATTTTATAAACAGACTATCACACCGTCTGGCGCAGATGCTAGTATTTTAAGTGTTCAATGCATTTTCAAGAGGACCTAAAGACTATCTGTGAATGACACAACGAAATTGATATCAAAATTTAAATAAATAAATATATATATATATACTGTATACAGTACTATATATACTGTATACAGTACTTAAGAACTGTCTTACAGTATTTTAAAAAGTTACAGTAATTTAAAAAGATTAGATAAAAAAGAACAAAAGAGACGGACTCCACACGATTCTCATAGGACACTTATCTCTCTGAGAGAGATCTCTCAAGAGAGAGATTCCATTCTCTCTCTCGGAGAGAATGGAATTCTATATATATATATATATATATAGATAGATAATCGTGTGGAGTCCGTCTCTTTTGTTCTTTTTTATCTAATCTTTTTAAATTACTGTAACTTTTTAAAATACTGTAAGACAGTTCTTAAGTACTGTATACAGTACTTAAGAACTGTCTTACAGTTCTTAAGTATACAGTTAAGTTATACAGTTCTTAAGTACTGTATACAGTACTTAAGAAAATTGTCAACAATGCAGGATAAAACATTATCATGTATCTAGTAAAATTTCGATGTATATGATTATGACAATAATAAAGGAGGTCGCTACTCTGCGAATATAAAAGTCGGTGCAAACGCTAAAGCGAGGCATAAGTACTCAAGAAGCTCCGAAAATAAAAAGGAAAAGAGAAAACAGTGTATAAGACGACTTGGCGATAAAATACTCTATTAGAAAAGGACTCAGAACATTGTTCGACTTATGGTGAGAACATCGGCATTGTGCGAAGTTCGCGAAATTAATCGATAATTCTTTTCGGCTATCGGCTCATTATTTTATTGTTATTATTTCCTGTTCTTTCACTAATGTTAATTTTGAACTTTTATTAAACATTAAATTTTATTCATCCTGATACCGGTGTGGCTTTATTTGAGACTCTTACAATACTTTTCAGAACGTAATCTTCTAACTACCTGTCAATTTATGAATTTTATGATCGATCGATTTATGTTTTTCTTCAAATACGAAGACGTGTTAATCCAGCATTTCAAATCAGACAAGATGCTGAGGCGCATACCGAAAGAATCTGCGTGAGTAAACAACAGAAAAATAATCTTCTAAGTCACTTTTCTGAAAAAGTAATCGCAGAAATTAAAAAAAATATATATATTGACTCTAAAACTCTTATTAATTTTTATTAGATTATTTTTATTTTTATTAAAAAAGATATTATATAAAAAGACAAGTTCAATATTTATTTAACATTCATGTAAGCATATTTACATAAGTTAAACGCTAAGCAGATTGTTCTCCGAAAAATAATTTTTAATTAATCCATTTTTTTCACTAAGAAAAACATTGCATTACAAGAATGCATATAAGCGTACATTCTGTCGTCCTAAAGGAATTTTAATTCGACACGTCAGCACATGTTTCAGCAAGTACATATTCTATTTGGTAGTTCCAGTACCTGTGCAGTTTTGCAAGGGGTGGCAGAGCACAAACGAGGGATAAGAGAGAAAGAGAGAGGGAGAGAGTGGAAACGAGAGGGAGATAGGTGGATGACGGCGACGTACAAAGACGCTTCAGGGGTGACGAGAGCGTGCGAAGGGGGTGCACGGGTGGCGAGGGGATCTGCCTGCCTGATGGAGCTTGAAACTGAATTAACCATCCCCGCCCGGGGCCCGTGATCTCGTCGCAACCTCATCTCGGCGACCATTATATTTGTCTTTGTATGCTAAACATTTTGTGGAATTATACGAGACAGGTTTCGAAGAGTCGTCTCTCCCTCTCTATCGCCCTCTCTCGCTCTTCCTTTTTCCGCCGGCCCTCCCTTCATCCCATCTCCGCAGCGTGATCGAGAAACGATAACGATTACGGGGCATTCCTCCCTCGCGCAAGATTACTTCCCAGGCAAAAAGCGATCAGCGGAATATCGTCGGTTTTACATGCGTTTTTTTATGCGCACAGGAAGAATTTGCGAATAACGAGCGGAACTGTACTCGAAAATTTTTGTATCCAAGGAATGTCTATCTCTGTTAAGAACATATGTTAGAGATCTGATAGATCGAGTTGTCCTATTTGTTCAAATGATTGAAAAAGGGGGCGATGGACGTTGGATATTATTCCGATAGTAAAAAACTCATCGATTAAAAGAGATGTTTTAGTTCACTTTTGAACTCTTTTCAACGTGTTTCATCAATAAAGATTATAATTAATTAAGAAATGGTGAATTATTACGATTTTTCACGCGCAAATTTTTATCTGTGTGAATCGTAAAAAAAAGAAATCTCCCATTAATTCCAAAAATCTCATTAATATATTTTAAATATTTTAAAATTTTTCATACATTAAAGATTGTTAACAGTTAAAAATTTATTGATAATTGACATTCTTCTAAAAAAATCGTATATACCAAATGGATCAAAGAATCTATACGTGGAAAGAGTGTCGATAGATCTGAAAAATACATTGTAAATAACACGTTTACGTCATTTCATGCGATCAACAAAAGCTTCCTTCTCAACTCACGAATGTCAATGTGTTTCTCTGCCGGTGTCACGCTGTCTGTGCTGTCATAAATTCGCGATAAGGTAATCTTTATCACATATTGTTATCAATAATGATGTATCATGTGTGATATCTTACTGCCCGCTAGCTCGATTTTCTCTATCTGCACTGAAACGATATATAAGCTAACCCCATCGCTAAGTATCTTTATTAGACGAATTTTTTCTGACTATATTCTTAAATTCATAAAATTGGAACTTTTTAGGCTTAATATTAAATATTTTATAATTATCTAATTTTAGATTTTGTTTTATACGAAGATTATTTTTTATATGTCAATACTATCTTACAATGAGAATCAAAGATTTAATACAAAATGTGGAATTCAAACTATTCAAAAAATAGTAAGATGGAAAAAGTCAAAAGTTGCCACTGATATTCCACTCTCTAAAGATCTTTTTTATCTTCAATATTGGAGTTAAAAACTTCTGCAAGATATGACGAGAGGGAACTAATGGAACTTTAGTAAACGTTTTGTTATCCAACTTCAAAAGTTTCTTTTCATTAAATAAAAAAAAATAACTTTTCGACAAAATTACATCCTTTTGTACATAAAAAATAGAATTATAACGAGAAATAAAGGTTAACATACTCTTTAAAGATTGATATCAATCTTAAAATAGTAGGAAATAAATAAAATTTTGAAAATAAGTTTATAATTATGTCATAAATATGTGTAAATTTTTTAGAAATTTTTGACCGTATACATTTTTGGAAAACGACTTTAATTTTGTATAGACTCTTATGTAGAAATAAGATTATCATATATGTTTGACACTTAAGTAAAATAAATAATAAAGTAAGAATTAAAAAAAAAAATGAAAAGAAAATTAAAATCGTAACAATTTTATACTAAAAAGTAAAATTTAAACCGTACCGTTTAGCTGGAAAAATGTGTAAAATGTTATGTTGCCAAGTGTCTACCAACATTTTTTACATTTATTAATTATTCAAAATATTATATTTATGAAATATTATATCATTAATTATATTATAACAAAAAATTATTAGCTAATTTAACAATTTAGTACAATATATTCAATAATATTTTTTATGACTTCTAATTTTTTTTCGAAGTTGACAACGAGAAAAGATTCCAATATCTTAATATTCCGATATCTTAATATAATATATCTTAATATATCCAAGCTTTTTAGATAGAAAATAAAAGAAATCATATAACTCTCCTGCAAAATTGCATTCTTTTGTACATAGAAAATAGAAATGTAATTCTATTATTAGAATTACGAAGATTAATAAAGATTAACTTAAATAAAGAGAAACAAAAAATAAAGATTAATTAATTACTTTAAATTAAAAAACGACTATACATTCTGCGGTCGTTTTTGCACATTAAGCGCACTGTACGATAATGACACATTTTTAAGATTATATTGAGATGAAAATTCTAATACTAAAATGTCGAGGCTGCAATAGCTTTTAAACAGAAAGCATTTAAAGTTGATCAATCAAGTTGCTCCAAATTCGCGCGCTCAGGCATCGCATAGAAATGAGGGTACCTTTAGATATCAATTTGTTTTTAAATATAAATATAACTTTACGTACAAAAATAAAAACGGATGCACTCCAAACCAATGCACCTTGTATAATTTATGTTTGTGATTCACGTGCAAACGATCTCAGTGGTTAAAGGTAGTATTGTCTTTTTCTGCCCTTCCCATAAATTAAACTGCGTGACTAATTGAAAACGCCTGGAAATACGTATTCATAAAGAACTCTTTTATTAACCCTTTTATTTTCGACGAAACTTTTTTATAGACGGTTTTATTTACGGTTTTATAACCATCTATAAACAAGTTCTTCTACGAACAGCATAACACAATTTTACAAGTAACATAGCATAAAAAAGGTTTGCTTTTCAAAGGACTTAGAAATTTTTTCTACATAAATTTTTCTTACTTTTCTAAAATTTCTTTAAAGCAATTGTCATAGAAATGAAAAAAAAATGTATTTCAGACATTTTTATCCTTATTATAGAATAAATTACAGATTGTCTAAATTCTGAATAGATAGTTTTGTTAGCTCCTAGAAATGCTGCTGACTCTTCCTGCTGCTGACTCTTGCAATTAGTGGGGAAGGGTTAAGTTAGCAGCAATTGTATGGAACCGGCTTGCGCTATTGCATACGTTCACGTTGCTTTCGATTTTGTGATTTAGATAAAGAAAAACATTCTTCGGTATTTTTTGCGCTCCTGATGCCCGATTCCACCAACGTAGATTAACTTTAATCTCGTTTCAACTTACTCTTCACCTTTTTCTAATTCTTAGAACTAGAAAAAGATGAAGAGAGTAAGTTGAACCAACGTAGTTAAAGAATTTCTTTAATCTCGGTTCAACTTACTCTTCATCTTTTTCTAGTTCTAAGAATTAGATTAACTTTAATCTCGGTTCAACTTACTCTTCATCTTTTTCTAGTTCTGAAAATTAGAAAAAGGTGAAGAGTAAGTTGAACCGAGATTAAAGTTAATCTAATTCTTAGAACTAGAAAAAGATGAAGAGTATAAGTTAAACCGAGATTAAAGAAATTCTTTAACTACGTTGGTGGAATCGGGCATTAGTCTGCTATTTAGTCAAAATAAGAGACATTTTAATAATCCTTCGGGAAGTAATTTAAAGTATGCTGTTTTTAAATGTTGTTTAAAAAAATACCCCACTGCCATTCGGAGTTGGATTATGCTGGCTAACTAGCAGACAGATGTTTGTTCCTAATTCTGAGTAGTAGCAGGTGGCTCAATGGCGAACTTTTAATTACGTGAATTCTTTTATTGCAATTAAATTTGAAATAATTTCTTGTTACTTAAATTTGCTGTTTTTCTTAAAGTTGTTGACTTCCTATTTCATTTTATATTTAAAACATATATCATAATTTTTCTCTAATTTTGCGAAATAATGTTTCTTTTCAAGCTTGTAATTCAATTCTCTTGCAATGCATTTTTTTTAAGCAAAATAAATTGTGTTAAAACTTTATTTTATTTCCTATTCGTTATCTATACTTATAGTCTACACATAATTAAGAATCATATCCAGAATTAGGAATCCCTTTCATTCGAAGTAAGAAATTGCCTTGAAGATATAATTTTATAACTCTTCAAAATAAAAAGTTATTGCAAATTGCACAAGGATGTAACAAAGTGACAATATAAGGAGTGTAAAATGTATTTTTTTTGAAAATTTTTAACAATTCTATTTAGTTAGAATTTAAATAAATACAAATGGTACCTGAAATTCGGGCATTTTACTCTACATTTTAAAGATTAACAGTGTGTAAAAGTATTTAAACATCATATTTAATAGGAATTTGCAGCTTTTTAAACGTTGCGTAGAAATTTCATAAACGTACTGTTTTGTTGTCGGTTTTCAAAGTAAGCGAATTCTCATTTTTTATTGCAATTTCTTTTTTTATAGATATAAAAAATGCAATCTTTTCCGAAAAAAATTTTAACATTTGTAATATTTCAAATATTCTTCGAGCTAAAACAAAGAAAGAATAATACAAATAAATTGTAAAAACGGAAAAAATCTATTTTTCTGTAGAAAAAGTTAAATAGAAAAAATTTTACCACAAACATCTACCATTTTATACGCGCAGCTATAAAAAAATTTGTTAATTACAATGGTTAGAGTTAAAGAATTTCTTAGAAATAATAATAGCATAATAAAATACATTTGATACGTAAGATACGTTTGATGATGACAATAAAATATAAAATGTATCGTAAAAATCAGTAGTTTATCAAACAAGTTCATTGGTTTGTTCTCATTATTACAGCTTAGCACAAAGATTCATCTTCCTTGACGTTGATGTAAATTCGTGGCGAATGTATCGGTAGCATCAATATTCTAAATATCATGCTGAGATACATCTCGTTAACTTATAATGAGATTACCGGACCACTCGTCGGAAGGGGTATTGGAAGAAGATGGATCGTGCTGTTAAAAGCATAACGAATGCTTGTCCCAATTAGTGGTGTTGCACGAAATAATGTAGTCACACATATGTATCAAAAATACTCCACTTGTTATCGCTGTTTTATAAAAAAAGCTGGAGTTTAAAGATTTTTATCTTGTTTTTTATTTATTTTAAATTTTAAATATTTATATATTATATATTTAATCAACCTTTACAACGCACAGTTTGGCCGCGAAATGCGACTTTATGATATTAGTAGCGCGATCGATGCTTCATACTATGAAACTCGTCATGTTTCATTTTTGTATAAAGTAAAGTTGATAATGTTGGATCGAGAAAAAAATACCTGCTTTATTTGAGAATATTTTGATGATGCATTATCAAGAAAGCATTCCTTCGACAAAAATAAGTGGACACTTTGAAGAACTTTTGTTTCTTACAACTTCGAGATAATAAATAAAGTTTAGGAGTTGAGAAATAAAGGAAAAAGCGGCCTGTTCTTAAAATTTACTTATTGTTAAAGAGAAGCCATTGTAATGACACGTAGTAGCCGAAAAGATTAATATAACATTTATTTAAATAAAAGTAAATTCTGTGTGCTGAGTGTGCTGAGTAATATAAAAAAAGATATACATTTAATCTTTCATATTTTTTTCATTACTTTAAACATTAGAAATACTATACAATTCTATTAGAGCGCATTAGAATACGACAGTAATTTCAGAAACATTCCAGTGGCGCCAGTGATGTTTATAGTATACTAATGGTTGCGATATGTAATCTTTGGCCACGGTAGGGCTGGTTTTGCGCCCGTCGATCCTGTGGTTGGCTCACATGAAAACTTGTGTGAGTTGATTACCCGATACACTATGTTGCAAACATGTTCGTTCGTTCACTGGAGTTTGTAGTAACAGAATTGCCTCGATTTTCAGGTGTATGTATGTATGTGTGTATGTGTGTGTTGGTCATATATATACGGCGCGCCGTTTCATCTGCACGTAGAATTTAGTGGAGGTAAAATTGTCATTTATTTATTGAATGCGTTTCCTTTATATATGTTGTGTGCATTCATTCCAATTTTAGTATTCAAAAATCGAGTTTAATATTTATATAGCAGTTAAAAAGTAATATACAAAATTAATATATTACAGAATAGAAGATAAATTTATTTATAATACGAAATAATGAATATGCAAATTGGGTGGATGAAGGTAAATAGGCATTTAGAGAAGAAAAAGGCAATTAATCTCCATCCAATTAGTTTCAACTTAAAATTTCACACTTATTTCTCAGTTATAAATATGCTATCTAAATTTTTACTAAAGATTTTAGCTATCTTTTATTAAAAATATATGCATTCAAAACTAAATTTTTTTTTATATATATATTCTACTATATCTTTTATAAAAAAATAATTTACCGTCAACCAAAAATACAAGGTTTATTGCACTCGTGATAAACTTTTTCTTCAGAAATTTTATTGCTCGAAATCTTCTCGATGAGTCCCGTTAAAAATTGATTACCATGAGCGGTAAAAAAAGACAACATTTTGCTTTGACATATTCTGATTTAAAAGAGAGAATAAGACTTATTTAGTGGCAACGTGCTATTGTCAATGATGTTTTCTAAAAATCCAGTGGCAGTTTGGATCATCTGACTTCGAGTGTTATCTACGTATTTATCATCGTTTAACCTATTCAACTGACATGCGAATTACAAGTAAATTTTACTAATCACACGTTAACTGCACACATACGTCCAATGACATGCCAACAATATACGAATCGGCGCACATAATGACGATACATACAGCGGCATGCACACATGTAAGTTCAGGCGCGCGTTCGTCATTTAACGCAATATTGCTTCGACTTACATCGCAGCAGATACCTCCGAACCCCCCCGGCGTACTTGCGAGCGTGTGGCGACGGCGGCGAGACGACGGCGGCGAAACGACGGCGGGAGATCGTATTCTACGGGTGGGTAGCGTCGCGACGCCCCGGGGGGGTCATCCCGACCCGGAAGCTCCGCCCCTGTGGAAGTCGGGCCACCAACCGGCGTATCCAACGTACGAGACACGGTAGGAGGGGCCACCGTGTCGCATCGTTGGCGCCAGGTAAACGGCGACCCCGGATTCAGCCGTGCCTCTTAGCTTAGCGTTTAGTATCTCGTCGACGTTCCGAGGAGACTCTTCTTGATCTTTTTTTTTTCCACTCTCCTCGTTGATTCCGCTCGCCTTCTGTCGCTGCGCGCCGATTGGGGTCGGTAATTCGGGTGCCTCGCGAACAAGGTACCGATCGGTTACGATCAATTGTGAGGAAACGATTTTTCAGTGCTAATTTATCAATCGACTCTGCCACTCGAAAGTATCGAAAGAAAGCAGACGACAGATGGAGACGAAGACGGAGCCACTGACGCCGCCGCAAACGCCTCCGACTGTTGACAGATCGATGCATCATCAGCAGCAGCAGCAGCAGCAGCAGCAGCAGCAACAGCAGCAACAGCAGCAACCGCAGCAGCAGCAGGAGCAGCAACAGGCGCAACAACAACCACAACAACAACATTCATTTCCATCTGCCAGAGGATGGAATAGAAACCAGTTTCCTATTGACAGATACTTCCAGCCACAGCAGCAACACGTTCAGGCGACGCAGCAGAATGTCAGCGGCTATCAGTTTCCATACTTAGAAAGCTGGTTGAGAAGCACAGGGGCGAATCTGCCAATTTATTATCACCACCGACCACGTCCTTCGTACTATCAGGCACATCTGTTCCCGATAGGACAGCCTCCGGCGTCGTTCCTCTCGCGCAGATCACCAGGCCAGAGACCAAAGAAGCAGTTCATCTGTAAATTCTGCCATCGGCAATTCACGAAGAGTTACAATCTGCTGATTCACGAGAGGACGCACACCGATGAGCGGCCGTACTCGTGCGACATATGCGGGAAGGCCTTCCGCAGGCAGGATCATTTGAGGGATCATCGGTAATTTCTAGAATTTATACTCTGATCTCTGAAGATCACGTTGCAATAATAGAGCAGCACGATATTAATGCTTTTTCTTTGTTAAAATTTAAATATCTTGCGACAGAGAGCTATTTTTAATTGTAAAAATATTCATTGATGTAAATTTTAATCTATTTCTGTCAATTAGCAAGTATTATTGCTTTACCATAATTGATGAAGGAGTTTGTTATGAGTCTCTCGATTAAATAACAATTATTTAAGAGTAAAAAATAAAATTGCAAAGGCTCCGATGATTAAAATCAAAATTGAAATATAAAGGAGCGGAAGAGTCAATGCCAGTTGTTCGTGCGAAAACATGTATTGAAATGAAATAAACAAAGCCTGTCGTCAGGCCTTCTTCTTCGGTGTCAATAATAATATTTAAACGCACGCAACTTTCCAACATACAATATTAACAGATTGTTAGATGAACTGCACGAAAACGATAATAAACGGAGTTAAACATTTTGCAATAAAGAAATATGTATAATAAATCAAGCATTTCGCAATAATAGAGTCAAGTTAGGCGTGAAACAATAACAATTATTATTAATATTGATTATTATTTTAATCATTTATTGTATATTTCTGATCCGTTTCACTGATTTGACGGACACACCTAACTTGACTTTATTATTGCGAAATGCTTGATTTATTATACACTTTTCATTATTGCAAAATGCTTGACTCTGTTTATTACTGTTTTCGTGCAGGCAATCTATCAATCTGTTAATATTGTTTGTTGTAAATTGCGTGTGTGTATGTATTTTGAAAAAAATTGCTTGCGTTTAAATATTATTATTGACACCGGAGAAAACCTGTTGGCAAGCTGAAACGTTTGTTTATTTCATTTCAATACATGTTTTTGCATTGGCTCGAACATTGGCTCTTTCTACATTTCAGTTTTAATTATTTAAGAGACCTACAGCAATATGGTGAGCTGTGGTGAGTTATATTAATTGCTAATCGGATCGATTTGCAGAACTGCAAACTTTTCCAGCCGGCAGAAATTGTACTGCAATAAACAGTTGTTTTATATTGCAAATTTATTTCTTGATATAATCAAATCGGTTTGTATCAACTGACAAACATTATTATTTTGCAATAATTGGTGAGAGAATTTGCCGTAGCAATAGTGAGATCTCTCGAATCTCATTATGTAGTCACTTTCTACGTTTATCAATCAAATTGAGCCTCTGATTTTATCGCTATTTTACATATAGCTACAGGTTTCTTTTTGCTGCTTCTGGAATAAAAACTTGGGTTTGACTGTCGAATTGTGCATCTTAAAATTTTTAGAATTTACTATCCATTTCTCTAGAATTTACTATCCTAGAATTTACTATCCATTTCTCTCTCTTTTGATGGTGGATTATTTTTTGATCTATAGGAATAGATATGGAGAATTATTGGCGCGAACACTCACTCGTGTACTAACTTTCAAAGAACTTTATTATCACGGATGTGTCGACGCACAATTGACTATTTTTTTAGCGTAAAATAAGAAAAAAACTATCTAATTAATCGCTGTCAGAACATATGCCGTGTGCTTACATATGCTACATGTCCATCACTTTGACCAGACGCACGTCAAGCACTGGGCTGTGTGTATTCTGACAGCGATTAATTCTTTAGATTGTTCTTTTTATTTTACACGCTGAGGAAGGCCACCAATTATGCGTCGAAAACATCCGTGAAAATAAAGTTCTTTGAAAGAGTAAAGTTGCAGCACGATCCAGTCTCGCTAATAATTCTCTATATCCTTCTGCCTATCTCCATTGTTCTCGTTACGATATTTTATAATGCTGTTATATTTTATACAATGCTGATAAACAATATAACACAGCTTAATAAATTTCATAATAATAACGCTGTAAAAGTAACGCGCGTTAATAAATTTTTTAAACAACGTCAATACATTTTAAATTTAAATTTTAGTTTGTTTTGATTTTATTTTTTCAAATTTACGATTAATACTGAAATAAATTGTTGGAATTGAATTAGGATTTTTTTAAATAAAAATAAATTAAAATTGCAATTAGAATTATATAAAAATTATATTGCAATTAAAATTAGGTGACGTTCACGGAACGTCAGTATGCTAAAGTTATAAAATAAATACTTCGCATTACGAAAGAATTTTCATGAAAAATGTAAAAAAACAATTGTTTACGGCATATCACGCTAGTTTTTCTTCTTTTGTTGAAGGTATTTTAAGAATGTCTATTCTAAAAGCTGGAACCTTCAAGCGAGATGTTAAAAAAAAAAAGATTTTATTTCTATTCAAGTCCGTTTTTCCGAATACACTTAATTTTCGTTTTCATTAGATATATTGCTTTACACCTCTAGAATGCTGGTTATTGCTTTATTGCTTTTAAAATTGCCAAGTTGTAAAATAATGCAAACTTTATAGAACTTTCACTATCATTTGAGAAAAAGAAAATTTGAAATTATTTCACGGATTCATAATGCTTTCGGAACTTCTGATACTTTGAAATATTTTATGTACATTTATAAAATGTTGTATTCTTTTGTTATATGTATATGCACTGTAAAACAAAGCATGTGGCACATCAGTGAACGAAACGATTGATTTGCAAATTTTTATCTACATTGTTATCTCTATTTTGTTTTACGTAAAATTGATCCAAAACCTTGCATTATTATTAATGATAATTCGCTAATTGAAATTTTTGTGAAAATTGTAGACAAATTTTTTGCATTAACAGGGATATGTTGGCAATATAATGTTTCTTTAAGAGTTTTTGGATGAGTTTTGCTTATAAGAATTGCGCAAAGATATCGATACGTTTATCATTTATCGACACTTTATATCCAAGAAAACAGGAAATTTCAATTTGCTTTCAACATAAATAACTCATTGCGATCCATATACAATCATATATCGATTTGGATAGCAATGAGAGAGATGCCGAGATTATCAAAGTGAGAAAAATGAGATTATCAAGTATTATAAAAAAAGCAGTAAAAAAAAAAGAAATAATACTCATATAAAATTAATGTTTAAGAAGTCAAATATGTACAATAATCACCAAATATACACGTCAGAGATAAATATATAAAAATGCAAACATTACACTAATACACCAGACTTTTTAAACCCTGAAGCGCTACAACGGCGAAGATGGTCAGCTCGAGTTCAGAGCTGAAAAATCTTTTTCATTTTAGATACATACACAGCAAGGAAAAGCCGTTTAAGTGCAACGAGTGTGGCAAGGGGTTTTGTCAGAGCAGAACTCTGGCCGTTCACAAAATTCTGCACATGGAGGAGTCGCCGCATAAGTGCCCCGTATGCGGTCGGAGCTTCAATCAGAGGAGCAACCTAAAATCACACCTTCTGACGCACACGGACGTCCCGCAGGATCTTACGGTCGAAGCGACGGTGTCTTCGGACTCAAGGATGATTTCTACGGAAGTCAGACAAATGGACCGCGTGAACGGTCGTCTGCCGATCCAAAGGAGCAGCACGATGCCACCTAAACTCGGTTTCAGTATAGAGGACATCATGAGAAGACGTTAAGAGTCTTAGTTATCCTTTTAATTTTAATCTGCGTGCGCGATATAAAATTATCTACGTTACTTTCTACGTAACGCTTGCCACGCTACGCGACGATTTTTCATACGACTATATTCCCATGAGTTTTGAATATGATTATGTTAATATATTAGTTTGTTAACTGTACTAAACCTTTTGCGCGTTTAGTGCAAATTGCATCGATTTTTAATTTTTTTATCAAATAATTATATTATTTTATGTTACAATTTATTTGTTGACTGTAAAACGCAGTTATTTGTGTGAAGTTACAAATGCTGCGAGATTTCTAATAATTACATTTTGATTCTAATTATTGATTTTTTTCAGTATATATTTTTTTTTAATTTAGATTATAAAAACAAAATTTCGGTTTTGAAATGCATAGAGCGTTAATACTAAGTTAATCGATTTTCGACCCTTTTTGCCCATCTGTTGCAAAAAATCAGGATCAGTTAAATTTTAATTAATGGTTATTTAGTTTTGATAATAAAAATGTAATATGAAATTTCGTCGATGTTATACCGGTTTCGATTCCAAGTTTGCTTGTTCTTCGTTTTGTGTGTGCGCGCGCGTGTGTGTGCGTGTGCGTGTGCGTGTGTGTATATGTGTGTTGTGTGTTGAATTGGAAACATTATTGATTTTATTTACGATTTATCCAAATTTGTTTGATTTCTATGAGTCAATTTCTAAAAATGATTGTATTCTATGAGTATTCTATTCGGTGTTATAAAACGTAATTATAGTATGATACTACGGGAGGATAAAATAGATAAAATAACTTTGGACTTTAAACAAGATGCAAATTGCAACGAAATAGCTAATATAGACATTTCTAACGACAGGGAATTAGCGAAGGTGGTTTGAATGTCTTCCTATAATTCCATCTGTTGAAGAATTTTAAACAGAGACTTTGCAATCTGCTATCAAATATGATCAGATCAAATTAACTTGAAATAATTCGTTTGCTGTTATGAACTTGTATTACGTATGAACGCGGTATTACGAAGAATTTTGTAAAATTATTTTCTTTGTCACACATCGGGCTCATTTTATTGTCTTGTGAAATAAACAATATGAAACAGTGTTTGCTTCGTGAAGAGGACTTTTATTAATGCTCACACGTAAACATATAAAAATTCTTTCCATCACGCAAGAGGCGCGCGCAGATTCTTATGTATGATACCCTTCTTCGTGTAAATATGTCCTGCGAATATTTATATTAATGTTCGAATAAGCCTTGTGAAAACTCAGCATTCACGGTGCTTGTAAGAGCGCATGTATTTGTATGTATGTTCCTAGTTGTATATATATTCTTATTGTTAATATGCTGTAACTTTTACGATTCACGGAAGTAGTACATACTCCCCCACATTAAATCGAACGTATCTCGCATTCCGACTTATTAGGTTCTTCTCTTATAATGCTCTTATTGATACGTACTCTGGATAAATATATGTTAGTAAACACATGTTACACTGTACAAACCCGGCGTGTCGCGTTGTAATCGTTGTCAGTCGAGGATACTCTCAATTTACCAACATAATTTGTTCCGCTCGGCAGAATATTATTTCATATTTGCCCACGTACGAGCTGCATGAATTCTCCATTAAGAATAATTAACTCGGGAACCAGCTCGTTTGAAATTTATACAATGTTTATAAATCGCGAAATACACATTCGGTATTTTAAATACTCGGCGTCTCGTTAAACGTACGATGCGTTGTGCATAGAATTAGATAGTGCAACGGAGTGGAAAAGTACAATCAGATTTAATTGTAGATTAATTATTTTATCACGTATAAGAAGTATCTCCTTCGTTTCGAAAGTTTCACGTATTTCGAAAGCGCACGGTATTCATCCTTTTAAAGCTGATTCACGTTTACGATTCAGTGATGAAGCGTCAAGATAATTGATCGTTCCTCGACGAGACAACGATCTATGTCGGGAAGGTGTGATGTTACTGTGCCTCTCGTATATATCGGCGGTGTTAATCGAGTTTCTCTGACCGTTAGAAGTCTCTTCGTTTCCCCTAAAATTAGGAATTTAAATCAGATAGGCAGGAAAACATTTCCCGACAGTTAACCGCGTCACCTTTACCTTTAGTGCCACCGGCGAGACCTGCGAATAGCTCCAAAGATTTTTTTTATCCTTTAGTCTAAGAAAAGATAAGGCTACTCGTAGACCACCCACATCTTATGTGTACCGTAGAATGTATATAGAACTCTCACTTTTTCCCCGCACAGATTGTTCGATAAATTTAGAGTTGTCTCTCCATTAGAGAAAACTTGGTGGAAGGACTGAGGTCGTTTCTCATCAATTACAGATTAATGATTTAATCACGCGTATATATCAACATTTAGTGGTCTCGGTGAATTTAATTTTGGAAAACAAACGCGTTTTCTAATGTTATTCTAGTCAATTAACAATTAAGTAATTTTGCGTTACCTAAAAAAATCGATTAAACAATTCTAAGATTGAAATCTTTTGTCGTTGCAGATAGAAAATGATTGATTCTCAATTAAATTTTAGTTGAACAAGTTGAGCTTTGTTAAAAAATCTGTAATCGTGAGAAAACCTTATTTTCCTGAATATTTATTTTATACGTTCAATTTCGATTCATTTCTTTTCTAATATAGCGTGTGCGTCTCCTAGTTTCGGATTGTTTGTCGGGTTACCACTAATTTAAGATCATTGTATATGCATGTAGATAATCTGTAGATGTAAATTGTGTTTCCGCCGCGTAGCACTGTCGTTAGCCGCTTCTTCGATCCGATCCCTCAGTGAGCCAAGTATATAAAGGTGTACTACACGTTCGAGGCACAGGATTTTGTCGGAGTCAGTGCGGCTATTTGTTATTATATGCCCAATCGCAAATAGAAAGAGAGAGAGAGAGAGAGAAAGAGAGAGAGAGAGAGGAACCAAAAATAATATAACCCTAGTCGATCGTAATATGTATATTTAAATGTTGTTGTTATCAATTGAAATAAAATCAATGGAAATAAAAATTAACCCAAACGAAATGGCTTGTTAGCGAGGGTTTCGTATTTTCCGAAATCTCCACGTTCAGCCGTGCAATCGTATCTGTGCCACTCTCGCTCGTTGTCTAAATTAAAAACGATCTGTGGATGACGGCTCGTGCGGAGAAAAGTAAATATCCGACGTATTCGGATTCAATCTCGCGAGTGTAAACAAGAAGCAGTTTCTCTCGGCGATCCCTCCTCGGCGCAAGTCATTATGTGTATCCACGGGAACGAGGCTGACCATCATTCCCGCTTTCCCGACAATAGCCGGCAGTTAACGCGCTTGCCGGTCAGTTAGTACTGTTTAACTTTAATTAATTCCCGCACCTTCCACGGACAATAAAGCGTGATGAAACGCCAAACAAACAAGACGTTCTCTCCCTTCGCTCCTTTATCATCCGGCTAATTTCGAACCTTCCCGTCATGCTGTTTATTCATTTCCTGATCAGGCGCGATGATATACACTTCTTTCCTCAATTCCGCATTGAATTAACGGAAATATTGATGAATGCACAACGATTTGCACAAGCGATAACGATCATTATTATGTACTAGTTATATAATTTTTATCACTTAGCTATCGGAAGGTCTTATTTTGAGTCCAACAACAAATAGAATTATTTTTCTTAGAGTAAATATAATTTCTTTATATTTAATAAAATCGTGATAAAAGAGAGAAGGGAATCGAGAGCCGACGCTGCGTGTAATTGCTGCCAAAATCTTCTTTATTTAAAGAGTTGAGTGAGTAAACGTTTTATGCCCATTTCCACCAATGTAGATTAACTTTAATCTCGGTTCAACTTACTCGTCATCTTTTTTTACTTCTAAGAATTAGAAAAGGATAAAGAATAAGTTAAACCGAGATTAAAGTTAATCTACGTTGGTGGAACTGGGCATTAGTTGTCAATCCGACCATCTTCAGTACAATCTTAAAAAAGTCTAAGTGATAAAATTTGAGATCAAGGCCTTAACAATTCAGTGAACAACTTTTACAATAAACATACCTCAATTCGACGAATTGTGAGAGTCTCATAAAATAATACATTGGAAGTCGTTCATTAATGAAACCGTTCTCACATACAAGACTGTGACAAAATCAAACTTATAATTTACCGTATAAATAAAACGAATACAACGATTAGCTTGTAGTTACCAAAAAAATGTGTGACGACATATGTGAACTTTGACTAGTAGCCTGTTTGGAAGATTGTGAGCTATTGTAAATAAGAAATGAATTTTGAAAGTAGGGACAGAATAGGAGAAGAAGAGGGAGTGGAGAAAAGGAGGGCGGAAATTGTAGAAAGAAAAAGAAAAAAGAAGAGAGGCGAAGGGAAAATGGGGGGGGGAGAATATCTATACAACTTAACATTCAAAATGAAAGAAGTAAATTAAGGATAGGAGTGTAAGTGTCGGGAAGAAGGTCAATGTCACTCTGCTTGTTTAAACCATTTCGCTGTCTTTTAATGTGTAGCATTTCTGACGTCAGCCTTTTTAGGTAAGATTTTTCCTTATCAATTATCTCAACGCAGTCCCAGGCCATATCGTGTTGTTTTCGATTCCACCAACGTAGATTAACAATCTCGGTTCAACTAACTCTTCATCTTTTTCAAATTCTTAGAAATTCTAGTCAATCTACGTTAATGGAACTGGGCATTATTGATATGCTTTTTATGCTCCTGTATCCTGGTACATAACTGTCTCTTTGTCTGTCCGATCTACGTGGCGTAACAATCTTTGTAAGGAATTTTGTATCATTGATTCGGTAGAAGGCTAACGTCATCTGATATTTTACTGACAAAACTGTACTTTATGTTTACTTCGAGATAGTAAATATAAAGAAAGTTTGAGTGAAGATAAGATATATTATATCAACAAGACATGCTAGAAGACATCTAGGAGTTTATCGAATAATACCAACAACATATATATTAAAGCAGTTTGTCGTTTTATTTCAACTTCACTTAAATGAAATTATTAATTTAGTAGGTTTCTAAAAATTCTAGCAATCGCGCTACTCGTTTGTTTCCGTGTAATCTTGAAATAGGAAGGATTAATCGATCAATGTGAGGTGCGAAAAATAATTGCGCGGTCTCCTAATCGTCGATAAGATTGTTGCGGTTTGAAGGATACAAAGAGCGATGCAGGACTGCAGGTAGCTCAGAAACGAGGTCGTGAGAGAGTGAGAGAAAGAGCGGGGAGGAAGAGAGACGGAGCGACAAGTGGAAATGAATTTCGAGGAAGAAGGAAGACGAATGGAAGCTAAGAAAGAAGGACCGTCCGGCTGTGTACCCCTCACTGCGGTCCGGGGGGAGGGGGGGACGATTTAATTACAATAATCACAATGTTGCGATTCCCGGTATTCTGCCCGAGAGCACAGCGACTTGTGTCCCACGAAAGAGGCTAATCGTTTTCCTAAATCGAGGACAGTGTTTCGCACAGCGTTCCGGTGTTATTTTATAGTATCGTGGATAATTTTTTCTTTTATTTCGTGGGGAGGAGATATCGCTTAGGAAAGATCTATCTTTTTTTTATTTTTTTTTTGCTGAGAAAAAGACATCGTAGACAAGTCTTTTATTCCATTTTTCTACCAGAAGTTAAAGTATCCTCAAGAACTCTTCTCTGTGAGATCTCGTGAGAATTCAATTGTGTGTCTTGAATAAATATATTATATTTCCAATAGATTTCTTGCTAATATTTTAGTGGTATTATTAAAGCTCACTTGAGACGATGATCTACAATTTGTGACAGAGCTTGAGATAAAATTCGATATATTGAAAAAATCTTCAAACGTTTTCTGTTGCGTAAAATTATAAATAGATTTCTAATTGTAAGATTCTGTTCACGAATTGTGGATCGTCTAAAGCAGGCTGAAATAATCCTTTCTACTAGCACGAAATATGTATTAAATGTGTTAAAACGAGCTTATCTAACCGTGTATATATATGAGTTTCTCATGTGAAATATCGATTACAGGTGAAGATAATGCATTTCGAGTAAAGTTCGAGAAAACATGAAAGCCGAAACGAACGCGACGCGTGAAAGCGGTGAAAAGAGTTTGAAGTAGCGAATTCGTAAGC